TTCACCTCAGCCCTCAGCCTGGCACATGCACCTTGGGTGGCTCGAATTTTTGTCGCTCTGTACAAGTCTGTGAATGACAGAGAAAGTGCTCCTAGTATCCATTTGGGGTTAGAAACAGATTTTAGCAAATAGGCGGGTTTGCAAATATGGAATCTTCAAAGACTGGAAGGACTGTCTATACGGTGGTATCAGTGAAACACTCGGGTAAATGTGGTGTATTTCACAGGGAGAGTTACAGACATCATTCCAACACCCTTAACACTATGTTTTCATGATAGTGACATACATCCTCTCCATAGCGTGCTCTTTGGGTCTCTGTGAACCAGCTTAGAGAGATTGGTTCTCCTTAGACCTAGGTACTGTGGCCAAGAAACAACAGGTGTGACTGGCCTGTGGGGACATTGATCCCATGTCTGGGCCTATTCAGGATGCCTTTACGCCAGATAAACTGAGCTAAATGGTCATGGTTGTGGCGCTGCAGAATAAGCACTGGACTACTAACCATAAAGTTGGTGGTTCAAATCCTCCAACTGCTCCTTGGAAACTTTATAGGTTTGCTATGAGCTGGAACTGACTCAGTGGCACTTAACAACAAAACGACAATTTGATAGAATAATGTGGCGCTGTGGGTTAATGCGCCAGACTGCAAGGCCGTTTGAACTGCAAGATCGGTGGTTCAAGCTCACCAGCTGCTCCTTGGAAACCTTATACAGGGTCACTATGAGATGGAACCAACTCTATGGCACTTAACAACAGGAACTTGTCAATACAGCTCACTGTGGGTCTTGTTCTTTTTAGCTGACCTTCTACTTCACCAAGTCTGATGTCCTTCTCCAAGGATTGGTCCCTCCTGAGAACATGTCCAAAGTCCCTGAGATGAAGTCTTACCATCTTCACTTCTAAGGAACAGGCTGGCTGTGCTTGCTTCTCCCAGGACATAATTGTTTGTACATCTGACCCAACCCAATCCACTGTCATTGAGCCAGAGAGAGCCTAGAGGATGCAGAGCTATTTCCTGTGGCTTTTTATCCTGGTCCATCTGTGTCTGAAAGCTCTGCTGGACCCTGTTCAGCAGCCGAGCAACATGCAAGCTGCACAGACAGACGTGTGGTAGTTATGCATAAGGTGCCTTGGCAGGGAATGGAACCTGGGTATCCGGCATGGCAGGTGAGGATTCTACCCCAGAACCACTCTCTAACAGGCACTCAGCTAGTGTTTGCTGACTGACTGAACTACTAACTGATAAAGAAATGAGACACATTCTTCAGAGTTACTAGGAGGAAAAGACGATGATTACTGTTAGTATGGGAGAATGGTGTGCAAACCATATACGTGTGTTGTTGTTAAGTGCTGTTGTGTTGGTTCCGGCTTATAACGACCCTATAGAATGTTTCTGAGGAGCAGCTGGTAGATTTGAACCTCCCACCTTGTTATTAGCAGTCCAATGCATATCCTAGAGTGTCTTCTTTCTCCATTTTACAAATGGAGATACGTTCATGGTATCTAACTTACAAAAAAATTAAGATAAAAGTGTGTTTAAGAGCTCTGGTAGCGTAGTGGTTATGAATCAGGCTGCTAACCTCAGGGTCAGCAGTTCGAAACTACCAGCTGTTCCGTGGGAGAAAGATGAGGCTTTCTGCTCCTGTAAAGATTTACAGCCTCGGA